AGAGAAATTCAAGTGCCTTTACACCACATCCATTAAAATAGAATTCAGGGGCTGGCCCCGTGGCATAGCGGTTAAGTTCAATTTGCTCTGCTTCAGTGGCCTGGGGTTCGCATGTTTGGATCTCAGGTGTGGACCCAGCACCCCTCATCAAGCCAGGCTGTGGCAGCATCCCACATAAAATGGAGGAAGATGGGCACAGATGGTACCTCAGCGACAATCTTCCTCTCACTCACACACACAAACAATAAGAAAATAAATGAAATTCATTTGCCTTAGGAATAGTATAGGCTTTTAAATGTCAAAGTTCTCTAGGGACATGGACACACAAAACTGACCTAAACATGGAAAATGCACCTGAGAACTGAAATACACCCATCTCACATCTTGAGGTTCTCTTGTCTAAATGGAAAAAAATTTCGTTTCCACAATTTTCTTGCCTTGCTCACATCATATCTCTGACATTACATTTCCAAAGCCAAGTGCAAATGGAAACTAGAATCAGAGGATTGCAATCTTCAACTGATCAAGGAATTCGAGGACAGAAACAGGAATATTCCAATCAGCTCATAGAAGCAGCCTGCTGGCCTGCAGTTCACAAGGAAAACCAACTCTCAGAAAGGGACCATATTCCCAGACTTGAGGTATAGACTCTCCCAGTTGAGACAGATCCCCGGGAGAGGGCGAGTCCCTGGTGAAAGAGGGTGGGGAGCCCTGAGCAGTCACAGGAATGAACTCTGGGAGCCCCACACACCCTCCCTCTCCTGTGAGCATGGAGGCACTGCCTCCCCCAGGTTCCCACTCTCACATGTGAGGAAACTCTCAGCCGGATTCAGTCTAAGGTTCTGACCCACATGAACTCCAAAATCATGAACCCTTTGTCCACAGGATGGAACACCTGATCTTCACAGACTTCCTCACTGTGCACAGATTACACTCTCAGTGCACCTACAGGGTCGATACAAAACTCTAACAACGTTTAAAAGGTCCAGGCCTAAGGAACCACAACCAGAACCTCAGAAAGGGCATCACTCCCCACCTCATGAGCACATGCACCCCCAGCTTTCCAGGGCTCTGCAGCTCCTCTCAGGATAAAGGCTCCTTCCATGGGGGTGTGAGCAGTAGCACACCTGCAGGGGGTGGCTCCCCAGGAAGGACAACTGGGCCTGCAAGGCCTTCCCTCTGCAGGGTCAAGGGGGCCTTAGCTTGGGTCTTGGACTGGGGGCCTCTGCTCTCCACTGGAGATGCTCTGGAACATCATTGTTATTTTAAGTCACACAAACCCAGTGCTGGAATAATCCAGCAAAATCAATGAAACCCAGTCCTTCCATGGAAAATAGAGAAAAAAAGTATAAGGTATTTCTACCACTTCAACTAGAAAAGCACAAATGTCTATTTCTTTAAGGAAAAAATGTCAATTATTACTGTTATTGAGAGAGGGCTCACCACTTGATGCACACAGAACCAGAGACCATGACACATCAGTCTTTGAAAGAAGAAACAGTTGACTGTGCCATCGATTGGCAAGGAGACAGGAGGACAGGCTCTCAACTCCGTCTCCCTCATCCAAAGCGTGGGCTGAGGCTTAAAAGAGCAGGGAGGGCCGGCTGGGATGCAAAGACCTGGCAGGATGAGGTCTGACTGGCAGATCAAAACTTTCTCTTCTGCACAGGCTCCTGGCTGGCCACCTCCTATGAAAAAGAGCTTTAACATCCTGCTATAGATGGAGTTAGTAATGGGAGGTTACCAGTAAAAGCACAGTGAACAAGGGTCAAGTTGTCCTGCAGATTTAACTCACTGCATTCTCCACTGGTAAGAGTTCCTAGAGATTTAGAGCCATCCTGCCCTTCCATGCAGAGAAGGAGGCACCCTTACAAAGGGACATTTCTCTTAGAATGTATATTCTCCTTACAAAAGGTTAACTTCTACTAGGTTTTCAGAGCTTTGCCTGTCTGCTGTTTATTAATAATCATCAGCTCAAAATAGCTCTTATGCCAAAGATGCATGATTTGGTATGACAATTCTGTTCCTGGTCCTGTGGTGACATTATTTCCGTGACAAGAAATCACACATGAACACTTGCGGTTTGCATGTTTAAGCCCTGGAATTTCATTTGAAAACATCCAAAAGTCAGGAACACACCTCAGAAACTAACTACATATGTTCAAGCTAAGAAAGAGCGAAAAAAGTATTCTTTCTAATAAATGGAATGTTGGGGCCGGCCCCGTGGCTGAGTGGTTAAGTTCTGGAGCTCTGCTGCGAGGCCCAGGGTTTCCCTGGTTCTGATCCTGGGCGCGGACATTGCACCGCTCATCAGGCCACGCTGAGGCAGCACCCCACATGCCCTAACTAGAAGGACCTGCAACTAAGATATACAACTGTGTACCGGGGGGTGGGGGGGGGGGGCGGATTTGGGAAGATAAAGCGGGAAAATAAATAAATAAAAATAAATGGAATGTAACAAAGGAACATTTTTTCTGAAATTCAACTCTTTGCTGCCTGTTTGGAACTATTTTTTATTATCTTCCAAGCTCTACTGATTAAATATATTTACCCTTATTGAAAAACAGAGACTTTAAATAAGTGAATAATTTTTTCTCATTCACAAACTTGGGGGGGCGGGGACCATGCCAATAGGAAAGATCACCCAGGACATTTTTCCAAGAGGAGCCCTTGCCCAAAGGACTTGCCATAGGATGTCTGAGCCCAGATGATCCTGGGGGAGACGCACAAGGATTTCCTGCAATGTAGATCCAGGTGGTTATTCTCTGCTTTCCTCTCTTGTAAAATACCCACAGACAAATATAATTTTGAAAATAGAGCCATCCATGGCTCTGGGGGATGATGATAAACATTTAAAATATTAGGTCTGTTGGAAATGCGCCATGCAGGACGAAGTGAGGATAAATGAAAGAGGAGAAGTGGCTTTGGGAGGGCGGGGAGGCCTCTGGAAATTTACAGATTTACTGTCAGTCCCAGGAAGAGCCAGCCTGGCGGGAAAGGACTGTGGATTTGAGACGCTGCTCCCCAAACAACTGGAAAACTATGGAGAAAACGGGTCCCCTCCGAGGAGAAAGGAGGCCCTGGGGACCCCAAAGACCACAGCTCATCCCCCGGACAGACCCCGGAGACCGAGGCCCGACTGTCCTGCGGGCCCTCCCGCGGGCCCCGCACCGTCTGGGACACGCGGGGCTGCGGGCGAACAGCGGCCCAGAGACGCTCCGGCCCAAGTCGCCGCGCGCAGGGACCACAGGACGCCCGGGGCCCGGCTGCCGGCCCCGCCCCCACGCTGCGGCCGGAGGGGCCTGAGGGCCGAGCGGCGCCACCGCTGACTCCGGGCCGCAGACCCCGGAGAGGACCGCGGGAGGCGGGGCCCGCCCCGCCGCTTCCCACCAGCCCCTCCTCCCGTGTCCTCACCCCGGGGCTGAACTCTCACCATTTCTAGAGCTCCTGGGTATTGAGTCTTTCCTAGGATCCCCACGACCAGTGCAGGTCACAGGTGACAGGCTGCGGCAGATCCACCAGTATCGCTATGGCCGACAACAGCTCACCTGCTGCGCAGCAGCATCCAGAAGCCGCCTTCACAGGAAGTCCAGTGCATGGCCCCACCCACCTGCGCCAACGGCTCCCCTGACTGGACGGTCCTGAACGCCCCGCCCCCTCATACCAGAGTGACAGCAGGTGGGAGGCCGCAGCCTTTAGCTGAACCCTCCTAGGCTGGAACCGGACTCACCTGGCATGTTTGCATTTAAACAGAACTTTTTCCTGGCCTGGCGCCGCCTCTATTGTTTTCACCCAGTTCTTTGTGAACAGTGGGCACCGGTGTGCACTGGGAAGTCCTGATTGAGTTTCAAATAAACCAAGTACAGACCATGAGAGTGAACCAGGCCAGGCGACACGGAAATAATAGGATCTTATGTCCTCTAGGGGCCACGGGCTTGTGACAAGCCTGTGAGGCCAAACGTGGAACGGCGACCCTTGTTGAGAAACGCTGACACTTAAATGTGACCTCACCATCTGTGATAAAGGGTCAGGCTCCCTTTTATTCAGCGATCCTTGTTAGCAATGAGCCTTCCACCCATCCCTCCCCAGCCCACTCATTTCCTACTTAAGACAGAGTCCATTGGGGCTGGCCCAGTGTGTAGCAGTTAAGTTCACGCACAGCGCTTCAGGTGGTCTAGTGTTCGCAGGTTCAAATCCCGTGTGCGGACCTACACACCAGTCGTGAAAACCACCCTCTGGCAGTGTCCCACATACAAAATAGAGGAAGATGGGCAACAGATGTTAAGTCAGAGCTACTCTTCATCAAGCAAAAAGAGTAAGACTGGCAATAGATGTTAGTTCAGGGCCAATCTTCCTCACCAAAAAACAGGCGAAGATAAAGTATCCCAGAACACTTGGTTCTACAAGAAAGTTTGAATCCCACAGTCCTAGCCTGGGCGTAAGGACTCTTCTCAGTGTAACCGCAGGGTAGGACATGTATTCATTAAAGTCTCAGGTGTACATTTGCCACTGGAAGGAAATTTATTTTAGATCAGTTTTTGCTCTTGTCTGTAGAGACCGTTCAAATGTTAACCACTATAATACCCACATCTAAGGCAGTTGACCTCCTTTCCCTGATACAAGAAAAACGATGTCAGTATATAAATGTCGGATGCACCTGGAAACTCTTCCCCTACCCCTTAGCTTTATCGAGGGATAACTGAACAACACAACTGTCCATATTTAGAGATCACAGTGCGATGACTTGATATATGTATACAAGTTGTATACTTGAAATTTGCTAAGACAGCGGATGAAGTCTTCTCACCACACCCACACACACACACACAATGTGACTAAGTACCCAGGAGTGGAATTGATGGGTCACATGGTAATTTTAGTTTTTATATTTGAGGAACTCCCAGATCTCTTTCCACAGTAACTACACCATATTACATTCTCACCACCCACGTGTGAGAGTTCAAATTTCTAAATACATCCTCAACAACACTTGTTCTTACCGCACATCTTGATTCCAGCCATCCTGGTGGGGGTGAAGTGGTATGTCACTGGGGTTTTTGATTTGCGTTTCCTTCCTCATTAAGGATGCCCAGCATCTTTTCATACGCTCTTGACCATTTCCCTGTCTTCCTTGGAAACAGTGTATTCAGATCCTTTACTATATTTAGAGGTTCTTGACTTTTTCTAATTAAGTTTGAAGATGTCTTTAGGTATTTTTGATACAAGTTCCTTATCAGAATTACGATTTGCAGAATTTTCTTCCATTCTATAGGTTGTGTTTTCACTCTCTTGCCTTAAAATTTTTGCTTTTGATTGTGGTACCATACGCATACCATAAAATTTGCGTTTTCAACATTTTTTAACTGTATAGTTCAGTTGTAGCCCATTGGCTTTCTTTTCCAAGCTGAATGATACACCATTGTACGTATGTGCCAGATTTTCTTGATCCATTCATCCTTTGAAGGGCACCTGGGTTACTTCCACATTGTGGCAAATGTGTAAAATGCTAGTATAAACAGCAGTGGACGTATATCTGTCGAAGTCCCTGCTTTCAAATCTACTGCAATTCCCAGAAGCAGCATTGCTAGTGCAGGCAGTAACTCAGTTTGTAATATTTAGAAGAACTGCCGTGTTGCATTCATACCATCCAAATAATTTTTTATTCACAGCAGTAGTGCACAAGAGTTCCAAAGGGTGTGTTCACTGTCTTGATGGTGTCCTTTGAAGCACAAAAGTTATTGATTTGATGACGTGCAAATAATGTAGTTGTTCCTGTTTTTGCTCTGTGTCTCATCTAATAATTCTTTCCCAAATCCAACTTGATGAATTTCTCCCTGTATTTTATCTAATTGTGTTATTGCTTACTCAGTTTTAGGTCTTTAGGATAAAACCTCTTTCTTTTGCATATGGCTATCCACTTGGCCCAGCACCAGTTTATAAAAAGAATATTCTTGCCTCAAACTTGGCAATTTTTTCAAACATCATTAGACCACAGAGGTATGGGTTTAGTTCTCAAATCTCAATCTGTCCATAGATCTGTATTCCTGTCCTTGTGTTAGTGCCACACACTTTTTTTTTTTTCAAAGATTTTATTTTCTTCCTTCTCCCCAAAGCCCCCCGGTACATAGTTGTATATTCTTTGCTGTGGGCCCTTCTAGTTGTAGCATGTGGGACGCCGCCTCAGCGTGGTTTGATGAACAGTGTCATGTACGCGCCCAGGATTCGAACCAACGAAACACTGGGCCGCCTGCAGCGGAGCACGTGAACTTAACCACTCGGCCACGAGGCCAGACCCAGTACCACACACTCTTGATTACCAGTGCATATGACAAAGTTTGAAATCAAGAAATGGTAGTCCTACCATTTTGTTTTTCTGTTTTCAAGATTGCTTTGACTACTCTGACTCCCCTGCAATTCCACATAATTTTATGAAAGAGCCTGCCACTTTGTATAGAGGAATCATTTGGCATCAATGTCAGGTATGTGCTGAATCTCAGGGCATCTGGGGAATAGTGCCATTTCAACAATGTAAGTCTTCTGATTCATGAAATTGGGATTTTTTTTTTTTTTAAAGATTTTATTTTTTCCTTTTTCTCCCCAAAGCCCCCCAGTACATAGTTGTATATTCTTCGTTGTGGGTCCTTCTAGTTGTGGCATGTGGGACGCTGCCTCAGCGTGGTCTGATGAGCAGTGCCATGTCCGCGCCCAGGATTCGAACTAACGAAACACTGGGCCGCCTGCAGCGGAGCGCGCGAACTTAACCACTCGGCCACGGGGCCAAGCCCGAAATTGGGATGTTTTGCCATTTATTGATACCTTTTTAATTTCTTTTGACCATATATTGCACTTTCCTCGCCATCCATCTTGTACTTCTTTTGCTAAGTTGACTCTGAAGTATGTGATTCTTTTGAATTTATTCTCAAAGCAATATTTCTTCATTTCATTATCAGATTGTTCATATATAGAAATACAATTGAGTTTTATATTTTGATCTTGTATCCTACCATTTTGCTAACCTTAATGATCAATTCCAATAAATTTTTTAGTGGATTCCTTAGAGTTTTCTAAAAACATACCTCAGCTGGAAGTAGACAGAGGTTTACATCTTTCTAACCCATCTTTATGCATTTGATTTTCTTTTCTCTTGCATAAGGATTCCAGCAGAAATCTCCAGTATATTCTAGAATAGAAGTGGCAAGAGCAGACATCCTTCTTTGGTTCCTAACTGTCAAGGGGAAAGCATCCAGTCTTTCCTAATTAAATGTAATATCAGCTGGGGGTTTTCCATATATGCTCATTGTGACATTAGGAAGTTTCCTTCTGTTCCTGGTGATCTGACTGCTTTAATTGTGAAGGGATACTGGATTTTGTCCATTATTTCTCCTGAGTCTGTTGAAATGATGTGATGCCATTTTTGCTTTTTAGTCCATTGCTATCCTTGATTACATAAATGGATTTTGGATAATAACCAAACCTTTTATCCCTTGAATTAATTCCTCTTAGTCATGGTGCATAATTCTTTTCTTTTATGCTGGTTTGTGTTTGCTGGAATTTTTTGTAACTGGCCTCACAAAATGAGTGCAAACTATGCTCTCCATGCTAATTTTTAGAAGAGTGTGTGAAGAATCTGTATTAAGAAACTTTGAATGTTTCAGAGAATTCTGTGCTGAAACAATGTGGGCCTAGCCTTACTTTGTGGATGATGGTTTGTTTACCAATTCAACACCTTCCCTTCTGTAGTTCTGTTCTGATTTTCCAGTTATTCTTGATTTAGGTTCAGTAGTTTGTGTCTTTTTGGAATTTGTCCATTCCATCTCAGTTACCTAATTTATTGCCATACAATAGTTCATTGAGCTCTTTTATAATCCTTTTTATTTCTGTAATGTCCAATAGAATTATCCCTCTTTCTTTTTGATTCTTTGAATTTGATTCTTCCACCTTTTTCTGTAGAACAGTTTGGATAAAGATTTGTCAATTTTGGGGCCTGGCCCGGTGGCACAGCAGATAAGTTCGCACGTTCTGAATCTCCGCGGCCCGGGATTTGCAAGTTCGGATCCCGGCTGCGGACACGGCACTGCTTGGCACGCCATGCTGTGGCAGGTGTCCCACATATAAAGTAGAGGAAGATGGGCACAGATGTTAGCTCAGGGCCAGGCTTCCTCAGCAAAAAAGAGGAGGACTGGCAGTAGTTAGCTCAGGGCTAATCTTCCTCAAAAAAAAAAATTGTCAATTTTGTTAATCTCTCCATAAATCCACTTTTGGTTTCATTGATCTTCTCTGTGGCTTTTCTATTTCTCATTTCATTAATTTTGCTCTAACTTTTGTTGTTTCCTTTTCTTCTTGCTGTTGGGTTTGGTGCCACATCTTTTCAAACCTGTTAAAAAAAAGGTTAGGTTATCAATTTGAGATATTTCTTCTTTGTTAGTATAGGCATTAATGGCTATAAATTTATTTCTTTGTACTGCTTTAGTTGCAGGCCATAAACTTTCACCCCTCAGGTACGACATGAGTTTCCTCATTACTTCTAGTAATATTTTTTGTTTTAAAGACTATTTTCCTAGATATTTGTGTCATCTCTCCAGCTAAATTTGGGGGGCTGAATCCAGATGTACATTTTCCCCTGCTTTTCCTTCCAATCTGCATCTTTGAGTCTACAGTGTGCTTCCTGTACCGAGCATATATTTAGATCATGGTTTGTATGTTTTAATCTGAGGTGACAATCACTTCCTCCTGTCTAGATCATGCAATTGAATCACATTTAGGATTTCTGACCTAGTTGCAATGATACCTGCCTTTTTAGTTTTAATGTAAGTTTGAATTCTCATGTTCTTTTCAGTTTCTCCACTCCTTTATGGCTTTCTGTTGCATTAATTGAATATTTTCTAACATAGCATTTTAATTTTTAAATAACTTCACTATACTTTTTAAGTTCTTTCTTTTTTAGGGGCTCCTTTACTATTTAACATAAACTTCTTAATTTACAATAAGGAGCTTCAGATTTATACTAGCTTAATTCCAGTGTTCATAGATTCTTTACTCATATATAGCTCTATTCTCTTTTGCCATTATTGTGGCATTATTGTTATGCAGATTACAAGTAATCTTATTTATTATTACAAGTAATCTAATTACAAGATTATCAAGTAATGCTAAAACCAATAATATCTTGTTACATTTATTTCTTTACTGTCTATCGACACTTCCGTAGCACAAGACAGCTTTGCTCCCACTCAAGACCTTAAGGCTTTTAATGGCAAACAAATTACACATATATTACAGTTCTATATGGAATAAGGACACCAGCACATTAAGTACATACTATTTTATACAGTCCTTTGATATCAGCCAAAAGAAAGGAAAAAATCGGTATTTGTTCTCTATCTCACATATATATAATTACCTATACTGGTGTTTTTGTTTCTTTATGTTGATATCAATTAACATCCTGGGTCACTTGATTTCAACCTGAAGAACTCCATCAATCATCTCATAAGGCAGTCAGCTATTAATATACTTTCTCAGGTTTTGTTAATCTGGGAAAGTATTTCATCTCTATAGTTTACAAGGTAGTTTTAGTGAATATAGGATTTTTGGTTGACAGGTCTTTTCTTTGTTCACTTACAATATGTTGTCCCTCTGCCTCCTAACCTCCCTTTTCTCTGCTGAGACATCGTTTGTTAATTTTACTGCAGTTTCCTCTAATTGTTGGGTTATTTGTTCAACTGCTGTTTTTTCCCCATTGTACAGTTCCTACTTTTTGGGATCTTTGCATGTTTCATATCTTTGATACAATCCACACGTTATAGGTAATATACTGTAGCAACTGGGTACTGGTCCGCTTCCTACTGGGACTCTTTATTATTATTAGCTTGTTTCTTTGTTCAGTGACCCGGCAGAGTATTTTAGCTAACTCCCTGCCCTCCACACAGAGAGAAACTTCTGACTTAGCCCCTGGAATCGGGCATGGCTTTGGCTGTGTCTGCTGTCCTGACACAGTGGCATGGGGGTTCTCTTCCTCTTCCATGGACACAACCTGTGCTTAAACTAGATTAACTGCTGGCTGTTGCTCTATTGTTTCCACCAATGTCCTGGGGGCATAACTTGCTCTACCAAATACTCCAGTGAAATGCTGGCTCCTTTGGAGAAATACTTCCTGAAGCCCCTGTTTGATATTTGTTCTCATCGTCCACGTGTCCTTCCAGCAGTCTGATTCCCTGGTTCTCTCAGGAAACCTAGACAGCCTACAGTCTAAGCTGTATCTTCATTAAATATACAAATCTACTAATTGTCTTTCACCTCATTCTGCACTTTTTAAAATTATTTTATTGAGGTCATAATAGTTTATAATGTGAAATGTCAGGTGTACATTATTATGATCAGTCACCACATATATGTGCCCCTTTACCCCTTATGCCCACTGCCCCACCCTCTTCACATCTGGGAACCACTAATCTGTTCTCTTTGTCCATGTGTTTGTTTATCTTCCACATATCAGTGAAATCCTGTGATGTCTGTCTTTCTCTGTCTGCCTTATTTAGCTTAACATAATACCCTCAAGTTCCAACCATGTTGTTGCAAATGGGATGATTTTCTCTTTTTTCACAGCTGAGTAGTATTCCATTGTATATATGTACCACTTCTTCGTTATCCAATCATCAGCTGATGGGCACTTGGATTGCTTCCACATCTTGGCTATTGTGAATCATGCTGCAATGAACATAGGGGTGCATAAGTCTCTTTGAATTGTTGTTTTCAAGTTCATTGGATAAACAGCCAGTAGCAGGATAGCTGAAACATACAGTATTAGTATTTTTACTTTTTGAGAAATGTTCATACTGTTTTCCATAGTGGCTGCACCAGTTTGCATTCCCATCAGAAGTGGATGAGGGTTCCCTTTTTTCCACATCCTCTCTAACATTTGTTGTTTTTTGTCTTGGTGATTATAGCCATTCTAACAGGTATATGGTGACAGCTCACTGTAGTTTTGATTTGCATTTCCCTAATGATTAGTGTGGTTAAAAAATCTTTTCATGTGCCTGTTGGCCATCTATCTGCTTTGGAAAAGTGTCTGTTCATATCCTCTGCTCATTTCTTGATTGAGTTGTTTGTTTTTATGTTGTTGAGCTGAATGAGATCTTTATATATTTTGGAGATTAGCCTGTTATCAGATATACGATTTGCACATATTTTCTCCCAGTTGGTGGGTTGTCTTCTTGTTTTGTTCGTTTCTTTGGTTTTGCCAAAGCTCTTTAGTCTGACATAATTCCACTTGTTTATCTTTTCTTTTGTTTCCTCGGCCTGAGTAGACATGGTATTCAAAAACATGCTGCTAAGACTGATGTCCAAGAGTGTCCTGCCTATACTTTATTCTAGAAGATTTATGGTTTCACGTCTTACCTTCAAGTCTTTAATCCATTTTGAGTTAATTTTTGTGTTTGGTGAAAGATAATGGTCTACTTTCATACTTCTGCTCATGGCTGTCCAGTTTTCCCTACACCATATATTGAAGAGACTTTCCTTTCTGTGTTATATGTGCTTGGCTCCTCCGTCAAAGATTAACTGCCCATACATGTTTGGTTTTACTTCTGGGCTTTCAATTCTGTTCCATTGATCTGTGCTGTCTGTTTTGGTACCAATACCATGCTGTTTTGATTACCATGACTTTGTAGTATATTTTGAAGTCAGGGATTGTGATGCCTCCAGCTTTGTTCTTTTTTTCTCAAGATGGCTTTAGTTATTCGCAGTCTTTTGTTGTCCCATATGAATTTTAGAATTCTTGGTTCTATTTCCATGAATAATGTTATTAGGATTCTGGCTAGGATCGCATTCACTCTGTAGATTGCTTTAGGTAGTATAGATATTTTAACTATATTTATTCATCCAACACACAGGCATGGAATATCTTTTCATTTCTTTATATCATCACTGATTTCTTTTAATAATGTCTTATAGTTTTCATTGTATAAGGATTTCACCTCCTTGGTTAAATATTTTCCTAGATATCTATATATATATTTTTTAAGATTTTATTTTTCCTTTTTCTCTCCAAAGCCCCCTGGTACATAGCTGTGAATTTTCAGTTGTGGGTCCTTCTAGTTGTGGCATGTGGGTTGCAGCCTCAGCATGGCTCCATGAGCGGTGCCATGTTCAAGCCCAGGATCCAAGCTGGCAAAACCCTGAGCCACCGAAGTAGAGTGCACAAACCTAACCACTTTGCAACAGGGCCAGCCCCTATCCTTAGATATTGTATTCTTTTTGGTGCAATTGTAAATGTGATTATATTCTTGAGTTCTCTTTCTGTTAGTTTGTTATCAGAGTAAGGAAATACAACTGATGTTTGTGAGTTGATTTTCCGCCCTGCAACTTTGCTGTAGTTGTTGATTATTTCTAATAGCTTTCTGATAGATTCTTTAAGGTTTTCTATAAATAGAATCATGTCATCTGTGAGCAGTGAGACTTTCACTTCTTCCTTGGCAACTTCGATTCCTTTTATTTCCTCCAGTTGCCTAATTGCTCTGGACAAAACCTCCAGTACTATATTGAATCAGAGTGGCCAGAGTGAGCACTATTATCTTTTTGTGTTGTCAGAGGAATGGCTTTCAATTATTCTCAAGAGTATGACATTGGCTGTAGGTTTGTCATACGTGCCCTTTATTACATTGAAGAGCTTTCCTTCTATACCCATCTTATGGATAGTTTTTATCAAGAATGGATGTTGGATCATGTCAATTGCGGTCCCTGTATCTATTGAGATGATCATGTGGTTTTTATTCCTCATTTATTAAAGTGGTATATCCCATTGATTCATGGATGTTGAACCATCTCTGCATCCCTGGTATGAATTCCAGTTGATCATGGTGAATGATCCTTTTAATGTATAGCTGTATTCAGTTTGCCAATATTTTGTTGAGCATTTCTGCATCTGTGTTCATCAGCAATACTGGTCTGTAATTTTCCTTTGTGTTGTCCTTGTATGCCTTTAGGATCAGGGTGATGCTGGCCTCATAGAATGAGTTACCAAGTGTTCCATCTTCTTAAATTTTTGGAACAGTTTGAGAAGAAAAGACATTCCTCTTCTTTGACCGTTCGGTAGAATTCTCCAGAGAAGCCATCTGGTCCTGGACTTTTACTTTTTTAGGAGG